TGATGATGATACTGATATCATGATGTCATAATGATAACAGCAGCAAAGATTTAAAGAGGTTATTGTATATAAGGCACCTTTTATAAAGGTGCTTTATATGTATTTACTCACCGAATCCTTAATGATGATGATACTGATATCATGATGTCATAATGATAACAGCAGCAAAGATTTAAAGAGGTTTTGTATATAAGGCACCTTTTATAAAGGTGCTTTATATGTATTTACTCACCGAATCCTTGTAACTCTTTGAGGTACATACTAAAACTATCCTCATATTACACGAGGAAACTGAGGTACAGAAAAGTTAGCCTAACTTTCCTATGGACACCCAGATAATAAGTGGCAGAGCCAAGATTCAAGGAGAGGCAGTTTGGCTTTAGAGTCTATGCTCTTAACTACTGCATTTTAATGACCTTCTTTATGTTAGTAAAACATTTTATGTAAGTCACCCTTACAAGTAAAGAAAAAGATGGGAAGGAAAATATGTGAAACTTAGAAAGGTTAGGTGACTTGTCCAAGATCACTGGCTCTAAAGCCAATCAGTATGCTATTCTCTGTGCTATTTTCCCAATCTTATATGAGATTGTCGGGGAGGGGAGGTTAAGAACATACAAACACCTTTGCAAATACCAAAAAATCTGAATGAATAGTAATTCTTTATTCCTATTATCATAATTTGACCCTCACTCTTTTAAATAAAATGTGATTCTAAATTTGAAAAAAGAAATACAATGCTCTTGGCTTTGCCAAAAATAATTTAACTCTCATTCAATCTAAAGGCTTTAACAATTACCAAATCTGATACAGACACTTTAAATCTCTCCTCCTTCCCTCGTAGAGTTCTCTTCCATTGTAATTACAACATTCCACTAGTTTTTGACCTCTGAAATCGCAGTACCTTCTTCTGACTCCACGTATTCCTCCTATTCCTAAAAGGCTGGTTTTACCAAGTCTCTTGTAATACTACATACACATTTTCTCTATATGACCCCATCAGCCCTCACAGTTTCCTAAAAACCTAAATTACCTAAAGTCTCTTCCCCATCATTAATCAAATAAAACTGGCCCCCAGATCTTGTCAGTCCACCTACTTATTCACCAAAACATCTTCTCTTTTCTATCCCCACAAACATATTTCAGCCCTCATCAAACCTCAACAGGACTGCTACAATATTCTCCTAAACAGTATTACTCTCTCTATTCTTATCCACTGTGTTTTACCAAGTTTTAGCATGAGTTTTCTTAAATACAAACTTGGAAATGTCATTCTTCTGCTTAAACATTCTGTGGTTTCAGATAATCTATAGAAGACTTCCTTATTGGAAGGTATTGGGCCATTCACATTAGAATCCCCAAAGTGCGGTTAAAATTTTGGAGGTGGGGCTCAAGAACATACTTTTCTAATTCCTCAAGTGACTCTTAAATAAACTGAACCTTGGGAACCACTAAACTGTAGGATTTAAGGTCAAATTCCTGGAAATTTCATGTAAGGTTCTTTAATGATCTGATCTCTGCTAATCTTTCTGGTGTCAAATTTCACTATTACCCTCATATGAAACTTATGCTCTAGTTTTAAGGTATTACTTAAGTTCTCAAACACAGCTTATTGATTTTTCTTCCATATCTCTGAGCTTTACAAATGCTGTTCATTTTCTAAGACTGACATTCTCTTCTTTGTAAGCCTATGAATACACTCTCTCCCAAGATTCACTGTGAAGGGTTCTCAGACTACAAAGGTACAAGGGGTCTCTCTGCTTGGCTCCCACAGCATTCTGCACATATCAAGTCTAACACACTTATAATAGGTCTGTTTCCCTGCCACTAGATTATGAGCTCTTTGAAAGTAAAACTGACTTATTCATCTTTTAATCATGAACATATGCTAGAATAGGTATTTACACAACAAAAGATTTTGGAATGAATGATCAAGAAGAAAAAAGGCAAAAACAACAAGAAAAAACAAAACCCCCAAAAACAGAAATAATGAAGAATCGGTAGAGATGCACTTAATGTTCCTTGGGTTGTAGCCTTGAAACCCTGATACTCTCTACACTCCTTACATTAACCAAACTTACAAACATGACTGAATTTTATTACTGTTTGATACAGAAATTATACAATATTTACCATTCAAAGGCTTCACAGATTTTTTTTATATCATAAAATTCCTGCAGTTTTTAATATAACACCCTCTCCTTCTCAAACTTAAAAAAAAAAAAAAATGATTGTGGAAGCATATACTTTCAATGCTCAGTCCACCTTCTTTGAATACATTCCCATAAAAAACTATCAAAACACTAGAAACAATTTACCCAATTTATGTTCAGCATGTTGAATGATTTCATTTAGATTTTTGGCCAAACTCTTGGTTCTGCTTTAGTGACTGAACAGATGAATGGCAGTGAAGGGAGACAATCAATAATGTGGTATGCATAACAAAAAATATTTTTCTTAATAAGAATACTGATAGTTTAAAATCAAATAAAATTTTGGGCCGGCCCGGTGGCTCACTCGGGAGAGTGTGGTGCTGATAACACCAAGGCCCCGGGTTCGGATCCCATATAGGGATGGCCGGTTCGCTCACTGGCTGAGCGTGGTGCTGACAACACCAAATCAAGGGTTAAGATCCCCTTACCGGTCATCTTTAAAAAAATAAAAAAATAAAATAAAATAAAATTTAATAAAAACATTGTTCTAATAGACAGTTTCAGGGCCACCTTGATGTACCAATAATAAGCTCTAAGAAGGAGCTCACCCTGCTGGCCCTGCGGCGTCTGTGAGATGATAAACTGCGCTGGTTGCAAGTTGGTGGTTGGATGTACCAACACAAACTGTTGCAGGTTGAGATTCTGCTGTTGAAGCTGTTGCAGTTGTTGAAGATCCTGAAAAATCAGAATTAAAACATGAATTGGATACTCTGAAATAAAAGCTCACTTAATTACAAGGTTCCCAGACGATGACTCTGTCACATTCAGATAAAGAATTGCCAATATTTAGAGTTCTTTAATATGCCAAGCAGGGTGTGCTCTGGGTGTTTTTCAAAGAGTCTGGAGCCTCTTCAAGGACTTAACTATTTTTGTAGGCATGACATATATTGTCATGACATATGCTAAGCCTTATTTTCAATAGTTATTTATAATTCCCTCAAACAGTTATCGTTAAGCTTTTTAATATATACAGACCAATATGGGTTTTAAAAATCAAGTGAGAAAAAGTTTTTAAATATATGATTGACTTTTCTCCTATTACGTAAAAATTGAGAGTACTATGTCTGAATTTCCATCGATAAATTAAAAGACCTATAATGATTCATGAAATTTGACACCAGCTTATCTAACAATCAAGAAATCAGTGTTAAAGATTGTATATCACAGTAATAAAGATTAGTCTGACATCTATTCTTTACCCTTATAGTTAGTTCTTTATTTTTTGGTGGCTGGCCAGTACAAGGATCTGGACCCTTGACTTTGGTGTTATAGCACTGCACTCTAACCAGCATAGATAACCGACCAGCTGCCTTGTTAATTCTTTTTACATCTAGTCAAACTCTTGCTACAATTTCAGTCCACTTCTGAGTCTTCTCTGGGGGAATAAAGACAATGACTAGCATTAGATTCATAATAACTCTTCATATATTTCACTAGTATAACTATTTATACCTTTTCCTCTTCTTGACATAAAGGATTTCATTTATTTTCCTTCTTGGTACTGTTGTCTATGCCTCTTAAATATATTTTTATTATTTTTAGATACTTTGCCCTAAAATGTGAAAATCAAAACCAAACAACATTCTAATGCAGTTCTGCACAATGCTAATTACTCTAGTAAAGATGACTTGCCATCTCTCTCACACATGGGTGGCAAGTCAGTTCACAGCACATGAAAGAATTCATGCCTACTGTAATTAGCTAATTAAAATAAATACAGTAATCCCCTGCTTCAGAAATATGCCGGCTAATTACTTGAGAATTGTCACTTAATATAAACTGTCAGTTATTCAAATAATCAGCTATGTTTTATAATAACTCAAATAAACAAACAAATGTATTATTTCTAATTCAGTGGTAAGGAAGGGTACCACTTAACCTCACTGACCTCAGGTCTTTAAGTGTGCACACTAACAGAAAGTTAATTTAATATTAAATAAAATCTGCCATTTTATTCCTCACTTGCTGCCCTCCCTATTAGAGGTCCTCACTCACCTGTGCAATCTGTATGGGCTGAGACAGGGGGATCTGCGTCATGGGCGTGGCGGCGGAGGCTGAGATCGTGGCCCCAGCAGCACTGTGCTGTTGGCTTGCAGAATGCTGCTGCACTGCAGCAGCCAGCAGCTGTGCCTGTGCCTGTGCCTGCTGTATTAATAACTGTTGCTGGGCTGGCGTCAAAGTAAGCTAAACAAAATTAAAACAAATAATGGGAAAGAGTTGAAGGAGAAGAGCCCCCAGTGCAAGCCAACAGTTTTGGAATAGGTAACTCAAGTGGCATTAGACCCTAGCTACCCAACTTCACACAGTTAGCATGTGGCTAAAATATACATCAGCGATCAAATTACCATTGGTAGCAGAACATTTAAATTAAAATGATGGTCCTTGCTCTGGACTCAAGCTTGCCCAGGGCCCTAGGGTTCAGGCAAAAAAAGTAATTAACTACTAAGCAAGAAAAAAAAAAAGAATGCGACAGGATATGAAAAGAAATTTATACCCAACAGAACAGCAAGTGATTAGTTAGATCAATGAGGAACAAGGATGCTGGATATGACCACCGAAAGAATTGATAAGGCCCAGCTGCTTCCCATTAGCATGAATCCCTGCCATATTCCATCATTTCCATTATGTCCTAAGATATGACTAAAGAATATTATGAGTTCCATTTGCTCCTTTTCCTAGTCTCCCAACAGGCCCCTCCCTAATAAGACCTCTTCTGTTATTGAAAGCATTGAGTCTCTGCAACTTCACATCCCCTTTTCAACACATTATCTCTATGAAACAGGTGGTGACAGGACTCTCTTTATATGCAAATGAATCCCAATGCCCAGGTTTAATAGAATCTTCAGCCACAGGAACCTGGAATCCCAGGTGCCTCTTACTATTGTAGACACTAGTCACCAAAAACAAAACTCAAACAGTAAAATAGGAAATGTATTTAGAGCAGATTTATACTTGCTTTCATAATGTGACCTATCAAACACGCTTAAATCAATGTAAGAAGTGTGCTCTCCCTTTTTTTGGTGACATGTTCTGGTCAAACAAGAAGAATATTACATATTCTGAAGTGCATATATAGTCACTTAGTGGCACAACCTCCCTTCTAAAAGAGTCAAACACTATTTGTGTATTAGAAATATAAGAATAATATCAAACCATTCAAAACCTTAATATCCTTCAAGATTTGCATATATAAGATATACACTAAAAGTTTTTCTATAATATATATTAATCTCACTGTTGAAATTTTATAAGCAATTTTGCAATAGTTCTTAAAAGAGCCTTCCGTTGCCAAAACACACTAGTTAAGTGCGTTTCTTCATTTCAATTGAACTGAAGAAAACGAAAAATTCTAGGGGTCGATATGATATGCACTGAATAATAACTCTTCTTCACCATTCCTCTAACCTCCTCAAAAAGATAATTTAATAGACAAATTTTTAACACTGGAAAGATGTTTTGAAGGAAGTCTTATATCAAAGACAGCTGAAAAGTTAGATATTTATTATATTCACATAGGCCAATTTATTACCAATAAAAATAAATGACCTGTATTGAATGCTGTGTGCCAAACACTGTTTTATGAGCTTTACATATATCAGCTCTAATTTTACAACAGTACTGTGAGATATGTGGTATTAACATCTCCATATAACAGAGGAAAAACTGAGGTACAGGGAGATAAGTAATTGGTTGATATGGTTAAGTTGCAGAGCAAGGGTATGAGACCACATCTTTTATTTTAGAAAATAAAATTTTTCTCTTTTGTAGGTACTAATTTATTCTTTAACTTCTACCCTGCAGTGATGTCATAACAAACTGACAACTGTTATTTAATCAATGTAATGGTCTCAACCATACAATGACTATATCCCACAATGAAGTAACACCTGAAACGTGGATTTAAAAAGTCCTTAGTTTATCTAGAGCATCTGCAATTGTAACAAAAGATATCCTAAAAGCTTATGACAAAGATAATTCTTCTTCCAGAGTGGCCTACAGTGAAAAGTTCTAATCAGATATTGGCCAATGGCAGTTCTGACACAGAGAAAGATTATAATAACTCTCTCAGTGAAAACTTACCCCAGTTATCTGTCCTCCAGCCAGCATAAGCTGGGTTTGGGGAATGGCTGCCTGCACTGAAGGCTGCTGGGAAGGCTGGCTTGGCTGCTGTGAATCCCCCGATTCTTCATTAGATTTAGACTGAGGTGGAATGGGGTAGGAAATAAAAGATTTCAAATAGTTGATTAAAAGAAATGTACTTACAACTCTACATTTTAAGAATCATTTAAAACAGGAGATTATTAATCGTGAGTTTTCTGGTTTCCCTTTTTTTTCTTTCTTATATGTCCTTGTACCTTCCTAGTTTTACATACTAAGTTTTTAGACTTTTTATTCTAATGCCAACAAAGTTGCAGTTATAATTTTTAAAAAGAAAAAATAAGTTGGTCCTCCACAAATCAACAGAACTTTTCACAACCCCAAATCCTCAACTCTGAAAATAAGGAGGTAAAGGGAAGAATACATTTTCAGTCCATCTCTATATTTGACCCTCCACACCAACATTTTGACATACACCTGGTGGTCAGTCTGAAATTTCTTCATAACCCATCTTAGAGAATGATTACTTGACCCATAGAACTTTTCATGTAATATTTTAAAGAACTGTCAATCTACCATCTTCCACCAAATAACAAACAAGTTTAGAGGGAAAATACCAGTCAAGAGAGAAAAAGAACACACTCTTGAAAGAAGCAGAGAGAGGAAATTTTATGGTAATTAAAACTGGTTATGCAGAGTATTAAAATTCTGCATAGATTTGCATATTTCCCACCACCTGTTTGGGGGACTGCAGCAAGGCTAATTAACATAAAAGCTCTGATTAATTCTGCCAGTCATTGAGAGATAATTACAGTGCAGGACTGTAAACATTCTGCACTGGAGATACAGCCTGTTTGCCAACATCTCTCTAAGGGATGAAAGTTCACCATGGCAACCAAAGCAATTTTCTGCCTCCTCTCCCTCAGAAAGGAAGGTCACATTATCTCCTTTTCTTTTCTCTCCTTGTTTCCATGTGTTACTTGGTCCATATTCCACTGGGTTTCATGGAGTGCTCAACCCATGGTGTTTAGTCATTAGCAACACTGAAATCAATCTCACAGAATACTGTTTTTCCCTCTCGACTGTTACCTAAACACTATAATGAAAGGAAGCCTCAGGTTGATTGAAATGTTATGGAATAAATTCAAAATACTTGAACTTTGCATGTTCTGCTATATGGTTCATAGAAGCGAAGTAGTCAGATTTAAGTTTTGTTTTAAAATTTTGTCTACCCACCAATATCTACAAGCAGATTTAATTACAATTCTTACAAGCATAACATTTTAGAGCAGAGAGGAACCCTGGCAATCTTATAAATTCCCCCACTTAAATACAGATAAGAAAAACAGCCCCAGGAGGTTAACTGACTTGTCAAAGTCACACTGCTAGTTAGTGGCAGAATGGGAATCCAAATCTAAGACCCCTGTGTCTTTCAGTCCAATGTTCTTTCTTCTGCACTATAATGTTTCCTTAAGTCATGACAAATGATAAATAAAAAGACCTTTGGAAATGAAAGGGTATTTAAGAGATCATTAGGCTTTGTGTTTATGTATGTGTTATAGCTACATAACTTAGAAACATTTTTACTGAATTTACATATTAAACTTTGAAAGTAAACTTTTCCTGCCCACCTTGATTCACACACAGTAGCAGATCAGAAAACTGATTTTCATTAATGGCAATAATTATCATTATTTGGATCATTATGAGATTCAGTAAATTATGTGCTCATCACAGAAAATTAGAAAAATGTGGAAAAATAAATAGAAAAAGTGACCCATAATCCCATGTGCCAGCTTACCTGTACATTTAAAGACTGAGCAGCAGCCTGTAAACTTGTTCCAGCGAGCTGGACCTATAAGTAAAGTAATCAGGGGAAGTTCTAGTCTAATACTGTTGATATTCATCACTGGAGGTTGTCATCAACAAATATTTCAAGAGTCTCTACTAAGTGTATGTCATTGAGCTAGAATTGAAAATACAAAGAGGTTTATCTTATAGGGTTAAAACTTTATGGACAAGCTCACAGTCCATCTACACAAATCCACGTCCCTCGATGAAAAATGCTGTTAATCTTTTCTGAAGATGTTTTCCCACACTAAATGAGCATCATTAGGCATGCCACACTTGTATTGGATGTTCCTCATATAACATTCTGTTTGTATGCCTAGGATGCTTAGATTCTAAAAACTTAATTCTTCTTCTACATTATTTCAAAATGTCCATGTATACACCAGAATAGAAACCTTATATGAAGGCACTTCAAGAAGTTCATGGAAAAATAGAATCAAAACATAATGTAAATCTTTCCATGAACTTTTTGAAGTACCTTCAGATATACATACCTACACAGTCAAGTCCTTAGAACATTTACAGTCATAATTTAAAACAACTAGCTAAAATAAAGAATCTGGGCTGGCCGGTTAGCTCACTTTGGAGAGCACGGTGCTGATAACACCATGGTCAATGGTTCAGATCCCCATACCAACCAGCCAGCAGCCAAAAAAAAAAAGTAAAAATAAAATAATCTGTCCTATAAGCCACACATGAAAGTCTGTTGTGTTTAATGCTCACATTTCATACATTCAGAAAGTTCACATCATGGTTATATTAAAATAAGTATACACGTGGAATTAGAAAACCACCATTTGGCAACTAAGATAACTGATTCAAGCAAGAGTCATCAATGGATGCTCCAACTAATTGGTGAAATTTGAGGAGTATCAGGATATTTACATATTCTCAACTATTTCTGCACAGATACTTATTAGTTACCAAGGGTAAAACAGTAACTTGATCAGACAAGTGATCAAGTGAACACAGAGTCACCAGCAGTGAGACATGCGCCTTCTGCTATGATGCACTGAGAAGAATCCAGCACTCCTTATGCTGTATTCCTACCAAGAATGTATAACCTGAATTTAATCATGATGAAACATCAGACAAACCCAAACTGAGGAACAGAAAATAACTGGTTTTTATTCTTCAAAAATGTCAATGTCCTGAAATAAAGAAAGACTGAGAAGGGAGAAAGAACATATAAACTAGGCTAGAATAAATGGAAGCCTAAACTAGGATGGTCACAGTGAGAATAAAACAGTAGTAGACATGAAAGGCACTGCAAGATACTATATGAGAATCCTGACAACTAAGTGGATATAGATGAAGAAAAGAGTCATGAATTATTCCAGGGTTCAAATTGGGAGACTAGAAAATGGTAGTGTCATTAATGAGTTCCATTTTAGATATATCACATAGCATCAAGATGTCCTGAAGTTAAATGTAAATGTTGGTATGAAGCTCAGTAGACAGTTAGGGGCTCAACTTAACTGGCTGCGATGTCCTTTATTTGAAGCTGATAGTTCTGTTGGTAGATAAGAACCCTCAAAAACAAAAACAAATACAAAAAACAAAACTCAGATTTCTGGAGAACACATTTTAGATAGAGTGTAATCAGGAAAGGCCTATCTGAATAGATATGTTTAAGACCTAATGGCTGAGAAGTAGTCTGTCAAAGAGCCAGAGGAAAGAGATTCAGGTACAAAGATTTAAAGGAGATAAGATTTCTATGTAATTTATTTAAATCATGATGTTCCTGAGTTAAAGTTTGTGGAGGAACAGGATATTTATACAGTCTTAAAGTATTGCTTCACTTATTATTAATTACCAGGAGGAAAAAAGCTACCTTTACAGTAGACAAATCTGATAAACACTACCTTAATCAAATGAACAAACAATATCAGAATAATGAGACAGGGCAATATCATATACCTTCTGATATACACTAAGAGGTACTCAACATCACTTCTGTTGTATTTCCTTTCAAAAAAATATAACTTGAATCCAATCATGAGGAACAACCAAACAAACCCAGATTGAGGGGCAATCTATAAAAGCTGGCCAATACTCTTCAAAAATGTCAACATCACGAAATATTATGATAGGATCAGAAATTGTTCTGGATTAAGGAAGACTAAACAGACATGACAACTAAAGCAAGGTGTGGATTGGATCATAGGCAGAAAATATTAAATATGAACAATACACTAGAAAATAATATTGTATCAATATTAATTGCTGGAATTTGAAGTGGTCATAATGTGTACAATATACTCAAGTGGTTTAGCCAAAAAATCAATATTTTGTATGTGTACACACACACACACACACACACACACACACACACACACACACACACTCACACAGAGATAAAGCAAATATGGTAAAACAGTGACAACTGGTAATTTCACATGAGGGGTTTTCAGATGAACACTGTTCTATTGCTGTAAATCTTTTGTAGAATTAAAAGTTTCAAAATAGAAAGTTAAAAATGAAAAAATGAAGGCATCCCTTTACCACTCCCTTTAGCTAGCTTCCAACTAACTTCCTTCAAGATTCAGCTCAAAAACCACTTTGTATGATAAATGTCTCAGATTGTACAGGCTGAACTAATCATTTCTTCCTCTGTATTCCCGTATTCCCATACATTTTACCATTTGCTCATCTACTCATTTATTCAACAAATAATTACTGAATACCTATTATATTTTGGGCTCCTTGGTAAATGCTGGGGATACAGGTAAACAAGAAAGAGTTCCCCTCTTCATGAAACTTAATGATTTCTTCATGAAAGTTAATGGTGTGACAGACCTAAAACAACCTGTTTTCTATATGTATATGTATATTTATGATTATGACAAGAAAAGGCCCAGAGTGCTAACCTAGTCAATAAGGGGCTGGAAACAGAAGATAAATGTCATTCTGTATGTTAATTATGTGTCTAATCAGATGGTGAACAATTATGTATCTTGACGGAGGGTTCAATAGTGCCAAGGTTTTGAATAAAATTCTTTGGTCTGCAGTCCTTTAGTATGGGTGGTATTGGTGGGTCTATGATTTTAGTAATCAGTGGCTATATCTGGAGGCCTTGGAGCTGGTGTGGGAAAAGTTAACAATCCTTTTGGAATATGGACCTTAGTAGGACCATTTGAAACATCACATATTTAAGCCAGATAAAGATTCTTACTATGTGTCACATAATTGACTAAACCATACCAAAAATTCTATTCCTCTTTAGAAACCAGAAAACTTGTTGGAGACTTGAATATGTTCTTTGGAGAAAATCGACATCAACATGTTTTTGCTTTTCTAGAATATAATTAAAATATACTTAAATTCATTTTAGATACTAATTCATCTTAATGTTTGTTCTAGAAGTTGTATATAGAAGCTTTTCTATTCCAAAGACATAAACAAAGCTATGTGTCTGAGCAAAAGTGTGTCAATTAGGCCTCACTCTTACAAAAGATGCTAACTGATGCCTATGTGGTATCCCTTTGAGTTTGTGGACAAATAAATGAGCTTTAAAATAGCTTTCTAGAATTTCACCTGTTTTCAAGTAGAGGAACTCCTTTTATAGTTTAGGTAGTCTGATGACATGTTTTGATGAAAAGACTAGAATAGTAGTATGATATGTATTCAGTCCACAGTAACGTAACACATTAATATGCAACCCGGGAGGTTTTATGTCCATACGGGCTTTTCATTGAATAGCCACCACCACTACCATTAGGCACCATTGCTAGCACCACTACTACTAACATTAATATCAAACACATTTTGAGTGTTAAATTAGTTCTAGGTTTTAATTGAGGTAGAGACCACCAAGATGTACAAAGTAGTGTTCTAATAAATAATTATGAACATAAATCAAGAGGTTGAGACACTCTGATAATCCATCTCCCAACTGTTTTCACTGCTTCCCATTTTCAACCAGTTCCCATATCCCAAAACTCTTAGGTACCCAATATTTGTTTTTGTATTCCCTCTCCCGCTACATTATAGCTAAAACCTGGATAAAAAGAATTCCATGGCTTGTTTTAGACTCAAGAAAAAAACCATGTGATACAAGGGTGATAAAGTTGAAGCAGATATTTTTGAACCTGAAACTAGGGGGTTCATAGCCAAGCAAAAGACTCTGAGTGGTTGCCCAAATCAAAATGGTGTGAAACTGTTTTAAAGAGGAACATGAGCTTTGAGTTCCAAACCTTGCACAGCAGCTCTCAGGTAACGACAGCTACATCATTTGGATGACTCTGGCAATTTACTACTTTCAGTTAGCCACCACAGATTCATGCTCATAAAAACCCAGTTTTTATGAGCATTCCATTCATAATAAGGAATTCTTTTTTTCACAGAGCTGTGGAGTCAACAGCTATACAGTCAACTAAACCATAGGTGCTATGGTTTGAATGTGGTTTGTCTCCACCAAAACTCATATTGAGATCTGATCTCCCAGTGTGGTGGTGTTGGGAAGTGCAGCATAGCAACAAATGTTTGGGCAACAGGGCAGATCCTGCATGAATAGATTAATGCCCTCCCTGGGCCATTCTGAGTGAGTTCTTGTTCTCAGGGGAATGAATCAGTTCCCAAGAGAACAAGTTGTTAATAAGAGTCTGGGTGCCTTGGTTTCTCTCACTTGCTTCTTCTCTCAACATGTGATCTCTTTGCATACGCCCACTCCCCTTCCATTTTCTGCCATGAGTTAAAGCAGCCTGAGGCCCTTGCCAGATGCAGCTGTCCAATCTTAGATTTCCAGCCACCCAAATTGTGAGCCAAATAACCTCTTTTCTTTACAAATAACCCAGTCTCAGGTATTCTGTGATAGCAGCACAAAACAGACTAAGACAACAGAATTTCATACTTAACTATTTAGAATGATACAACTAAACGTGATTAGCACAAGGCTTTAAATAATTTAAAAAGTGTATTCTGAAATAACTTCCCCAGGCCCTAGCTAGCATCCTATGCCACCATCTTTTACTCTCACTTATGGTTGAACAAACATTATACCTGATGGAGATGTCCAAGGAAAGCCTGGGCCTGGGCTGTTGAGATTGCTCCTCCGACAGGCACAGGCTGCTTCTGAAAGTCCAGACCATTGGTTTGCGTGCCTAGAAAGCAAGCAAAATAATTAAAAGAAATAAAATCGAATGAAATAAAGTACTAGACTTCAGTTACCAACATTCATCAGACATCTATTTTACATAAGCCCTTTTCTAAGGACTTCCAAGGAGGAGAAGGGATTCAAAAGAAAGGAAATGTAGTAAAATGGTTTCTCTTCTAAAGGTAGGACTGCAGGACAAGTACATGAAAACAGATAAAGCTTAAGAGACAGAAACAAATATATAAATAATGAATTACAATCATAAGATAGTGTTAGAGAACTCAGATGTGATGCAGTGATCAGAGCAACTGGAGTTGGAACAGACATGAAACTTATGATGGCTTTAAGGAAGAGATCATTATCGCTGTTGTAAATAAGGGAGTCCCAAAGAGGTAGCAGGCTCTCTTCTGTCCTCATCCTACCTGATACTTGTCTTGGACAGAAGAAATTCACTGGTGACTTTGCCAAGAGCAAGAAGGACTTACTATTAGCTTAAACACTTTAATCAGCGACAATCTGATGGCAAAAGCAACCCTTTCCATAATAAACATAGGGAAACAAAATAGTTGTACTAATTTCTATAATCCCCAAGTATAAATTGCTACATATACTATATCTCATTAGCAAGGGCTGTTACATTCATATTTTTGAAATGTTATGCTAGTGCTTTTTAACAATTTATGCTGTGATTTGATGTTGAAATAGGACTAATTTATGAAAATACATGCTACCCTTATATCCAGAAATATCCCCGACCCCCCTTTTCCTTCTGATGGCTAGCTGGTGAGGGGATCTGAACCCTTGACTTTGGTGTTATCAACATTATGCTCTAAGCAAGTGAGCTAACCAGCCAGCCCCAGAAATATTTTCTAAGGGATATAATACATTGTTTTCAAATTACTACATCCAGTTATTATTTAGAAAAAAACAGAATACATTGTACTGAATAAAAGATAACATCACAGGAACTTGCAAGAAATGTCTAGACACGTGGATATGGTCCTACATAAACTTCCATTTTCTACCACTTGAACATCCCATATTCCTGTTCTCACACCTGTATATATACACATACACACAGAGCAGAACAGTTAGGAGAGTACAAGTTAGAACCTTAAAGCAGTATTTCTAAAAGAGTGCTAACTTCTGCCATAATATATCCTAATTTCTGGCAAATGTATCACTGACATAAGAATAATTAAGTATATCACATGACCCAGAAGGACTGCTTAAGGTTACTTTGAGATAATTATAAATGTGTGTATATTTATCACTTCCTTAAAAACTCATAGAGATCATTTAAGTTTTTCCTTAGTCTCCCACTAACAGTAAACCTACAGAACTACCTAGACATATACAGTTAATGAAATTAAAAGAATACATGCTGTGTATATTTATCACTTCCTTAAAAACTCATAGAGATCATTTAAGTTTTTCCTTAGTCTCCTACTAACAGTAAACCCACAGAACTACCTAGACATATACAGTTAATGAAATTAAAAGAATACATGCTTGTGTTAAGTAACTGGAAACTAGGATAAAACAAAATTTTAACAAATTAGTATCACTTCCATAAGCCACACAGAGACATTTCACTAAAGCTGTGCATTTTGTCATTAGTTGCTGTCTCTATCTCTGTGTAGGTAAAGTCACTACCTATGTGAAGATTTTAAGACTGTGCACCATTAGATTATCTGCCAATCATACCTCAATAAAACTAGAGGAAAGAAAAGATTATGCTCCATCAGAGAAATATGCTTTATATATATTAAATAAATGAACAAGGCTAAAAGAGGATGAGATTTTGAAAAACAGATAAGCACTTAGAAATTAATCCACCAACAACAAGTTGTCTTCTAGAACCAAATATTTCACTCTCATGGAGTCCATGAAAATTCTGCATACTGGTTCCACTTTCAAGTTCCCATAAAAACAATAACAAGCTCCTTGTAAGTCACAAAGCACTATATAACAAAAGATTGATGATTTCTGGTACCGTGGTACAATGGTCTACTATTTAAGTGCCCTGGCTCTGCGTCTTGTGGGGGATGGAATGAACGTATAGTGCTTGTAAATATTTTTTATATATTATGTTGTTTTGACATCTTAAAAATGTTCCTGTCTGGGGAGGGACTGCCCCTCCCAGGCCAAGTCAATTCTTAGGTATAGCAAAGAGTCCAGCCAGGAACATGTCTTTGATATGCAAACTAGCCAGTCCAGAACCACACCTCCTCTATCAGGCTCTGGTGGCAATATTCCTCTGCCTTAATCATCCCAGGGCCAGGTACTATGCAACTATAGCCCAAAGTCTTCTGAAATTATTCAAACTAGCCAATCTTAAACTGTGCATCCTGCCCTGCCTTGCCCTTCCCATGGAAACCCCAATGAAGGCAGTAGCTCAAATCTTCCCCTCCCTCCTGTCTTCTGCCTCCTGACCACCCTGGTGTCTCTTCCATGTGGCCCTGCGTGGTGCGCCATGCCTGTCTCTAGAACCTGTGAGTATAATAAACTTTGTTTTCCCGAGCCTCTCCTGTGTCTCCTCTTGTGGCAGCACCTAACTGACCACCTTATAAAAGAATGCCAAACAGTGTTCAAAGGTAGTTAGGTAAACAGAGCACAATTAGACAACAACTCAAATAAATACAGGGATTTAAGACACAAAGGCAGGTAATTTCTTTCAATAAATTGAGGCTCCGTTGGGAGGTGAGGAGTAGAAGAAAGTAGGTATTACATAGAAATTATTCTTGTAAAACATGAAGACCTAAATTGAGCTAAAAGGAAAGCAGAGGGGAACAGATACACATGCCTACCCTAATTGGACTTGAGAATGAGATGGGTACAAGGAAACAGGGATGCTGTTAGCCAAAATCAAGTAACATCTGGTTTTGTGTGCCTTGGAAAACAGAAGCACTGAAATAACCAGGGGAATTAACATGTTGGGAGAGAAGATGAATCATGTAAGAAGATTAACATAAGATATATAGAGTATAACAACAACAACAAAACAAAACAGGAAACACTTCCTAACTCATTTTATGAGGCCAGCATAACCTTGATACCATAACCTGACAAAATACGTGTGAAAAAGAAAAAAACAAAAAACAAAAAACACAAGCCAGTTTCGTTCATAAACATATATGGAAAAATCCTAAATAATAATAGCAAACTTAATCTAGTAAGATAAAATATTATGACTAAGGCAGATTTATTCCAGAAATACAAAGTTGGTTTGGGGATAAAAAAGAAAAACTTAATAGGATTCACCAAATTCATTAAAGGAGGAAGTAAGTCATAGTCACCTCAAAGGATGCAGGAAAACCCTTAGATAAAATTCAGTGTCCACATATGATAAAAAATTCTAGGCAGAGGACTAGGAACGTCCTTAACTTGATAAAGAGGAAGAATTAAATAAATAAATAAATAAATAAATATCATTGTTAATGGTGAAATATTAAAAGCACTCTCTTTAAGATTAAGAACACAATAAGGGTGCCAGCTACCACTACTTCTATTATACTGGAAGGCCTATCCAGCAAAACAAGGCAAGAAAAGAAAACACATGAGTTGGAAAAAAGAAACAGAACTAACATTCTGCTCATGATTTGATTATGTATGTAGAATATCCTAAGAAAGCTAACAATCTATTATTACAATAAGAGAGTTTAATAAGGCTGCGGCACAAAAAATCTACTTAAAAATTGCCTTTGTATATACCAAATAAAAAAAAATGTTTAAACATATATATATATATTTTTAAAGAAAATATAATTTTATTAATATTATTTTTTACATTCTAGGATGTTGTTGGAGAGCAGTTGGGAGGGCGGGGGAGAGGGGAAAGGGGAAGGAAATGGGATGGAAGAAGGAGGAAGGAGGAGGGGCAGGATTGAGGCCTGTGGCACCTCCCTCATTACCACAGGGGAGACCAGGCGGCTTCCAGTGGTGGCTTGGTCATTGCTGGGCTGGGTACAGATGTCAGGGGGTGTGGCAAAAGCCCTCACCCTCCACCGTCCCAGCTTGGGCACCCGGGGCCCTTCTTGCTGTGGCTTGGTGGTCATCGCTGGTCTGGTTGCACGTGTCTGGAAGGGCATGGCCAAGGCCTGAGGCCCCCCACTGCCTGAGCTCCGGTTGCTTCCTGCAGCAGCTCAGTGGTCACCACTGGGCTGGCTGTGAGTGTCAGGGGTGCATGGCTGAGGCCTTTGGCCCAAAACCGCCCCAGTTAAGGAGGCCTGGGATGCTTCCTGTGGCAGCTTGGTGGCCACTGCTGGGCTGGCTGCGGGTGTCAGGCGGGGCATGGCAGAGGGCCTCAGCCCCCTACCGCCCTAGTTCAGGAGAGCCTGGGGCACTTCCTATGGTGGCTTGGTGGTCACCACTGGGCTGGCTGCGGGTGTCGGGGGTGTGTGGCCGAGACCTGAAGTCCCCCACCACCCTGGCTCAGGAGGCCTGGGGCACTTCCTGCAGCAGCTTGGTGGTTACCACTGGGCTGGCTGTGTGTGTGGGGGGGGGGCATGGCTGAGGCCTGAGGTCCCCCACCACCCCTGCTGGGAGAGCCCCGGACACTTCCTGTGGTGGCTCAGTGGTCGCCACTGGGCTGGCTGCATGTGTCGGGTGGGTGTGGCCGAGGCCCTTGTACCACACCCTCAGGACTGGTTGCAGGTGTTGGGGAGCATTGCTGAGGCCCCTGGCCCTCTCCCCTTTCTGGCTTGGTATCCCAGGGGACTTCCAGTCCTTCTAGGTGTTATAGGTGTTCTTTGGTGAAATGAGACTTTTACTAGTTAATATGAAACTTTGTCTCTAGTTGCAGGTACTTTGTTTTTTCTTTCATTTCTGTGTTGAATTATTTGCTGTTCCCACCATTTAAACTCTGCGCTGGAATTAATTTGTTGTCCTTTGCTTACTTCTAAAATGGGGGAACTTCCTGTGGGGACCAGTACATGAGCTGTGTGGTTGAGCTAAATTGCTGCTTTGCTGCTGATTCCTTAGGGAAGGCTTTTTGTGCAGCTCAGA